TGGAAATAATGAATACTATTATTTAAATTCTTTCCTATCTTCTCCTCAGTTATGCTTTACAACCCTAACCGGAAGTTAAGTACACAGGGGAGAGACACGTTTCGATGTTCTCTGTCGGGCAGAAAACAAAAGACGGCAGTGGCAAAACACAAAGAAGACGTTTGTGCACTTGTATTCCTTTAAATTGATCAGAGAGCAATTCAGGGTTCAATTACTTTTAGCATTCCATCATTTTTAAAGGAAGTGTCACAAGCTCTTTTAGCTTTAGGTAGGAGATATTTATGATGGACAAAAACAAGGCAGGGCTCCGCATGTTACATATTTATTTGATCTTTTTAATTTATGCAGGAGCCAAAAACAATTGGTCATGGACTTAAAATGGCCATTCAAGAAACACAAATTATCTGACCAAGGTTTACTGTTTATTTATTCCAGGAAAAAGGTTGTGCTGCTGACATTGCAGACCAATCAGTGTCTATATGCCTTACCTTGAATTTTCACTGGGCTGTTAAAGTCTCCATTTCCACATAACACTTGAGAAGCAGCAATCCTAAACTTCCAAACAAATGTTTCACATGGCATTTGGATTTAATCATTATGTAAACAGGACAGGATTAGTACACAGGTTCTTTCAAATGAGTAAACCAATAGAAGTGACACTGTACTTTAAAGAGTCATTTTGAAACTTCTCTTTCTTTTGAGCCTGGCTGATGCAGTTTGGCATAAAATTGACTCGATTTAAAGAAAGACTTTTTAAAATTGTGTCTAAAGGGGAAAAATGCATGCTTTCAATAAAATCAGTAAATGGCAAATAATGTACTTGTACTACTTTTTTCATAGATCAGTTGATACATAATCTTGTATTTCAAAATATAATCATCATATGAATTGCACAACAGCAATAATTATGCAATAATGCTACATTTCTTAAGTGTAATTAGCAAGAAAACTAAATTAATTGTATATATTTAGCCAAATGTTTAAATGATGCTCTTTGTATAATATGAGTGATGTGTAGCTTACGATTTTAGCCATTTGACAAAGGAAATTTGTAGCATTCCAGACCTTTTTGACTTCTGACAGGGGGATCTGTCTTGGGGAAAAAACAAAGAACAGAAAGAAAACGAACGAAGAGGAAAAGGCAGAACTGCACTAAGATGGCCTGCTGTACATAAAGGGGCTCTCACAAAAGGCAATATTTCAACAGTCACATGCTCTTCCTAAATTAGAGAATGTATAAGCCATTGTATTGATTTTCACAATCACACATGCATACATTCATAAGTGGGCACACATTACATTAACAGCCTCATATTTGACTGAGGATAAATGAGTCTGAGAGAGGCAGACAGACAGCGAACTGATGGGAAAGACAGGGATGTGGCCATTGAAAACTGATCAGGAACAGTTTCAGCTTTATACTCAAGGTCAAGACTGGGGTCTGTTGGTTGCCTGAATACATAAGCACTGTAGAGGTAAGGTGAGTTGTGTTAAAACAGAGTGGTGGCTGACCCACTACAGATGCATTAGATTAAGAGGTGATAATCCCCACAATACTCACCCTCCTCTCACGGCATGAGAGAAAGGGGAAAAAAACCCTTTGCACAGCAGGAACGTTGAGACACCAAATATGTATATGATATTGCTGTTTGAAGGAGACACTGAACACTAAAGAATATCTGGTTTTAATAAAGCTCACTACCTGCTGAGAGTGGTAAATGCTGTTTGAACAGAAGGGAAAGGGAAGAGACAAGTATTTTGGCCACAAAAACAATACAACTCCCTCTCTTTTTTTCCTCTAAACAATTTCTGCACCACTTCTGTACAAACATTATTGCCTGTTCTGAACTGTGATAATGAAAAAAATCCAAAAACATATCCCTAGAAATAGGTTTTCCCATTTTACCTCTGTGAAAATGTGTTTCTATATACTCTTCTGAGATGTAGAAGGGATAGGTACAAAACAGCAGCATCCATTTCCTTTAAAAAACACTCCTTTGAAGGCTACCATACAACGGAGAATTTGTAAGACAACAGACCAAGCTCTGTCTTCTACCTTCAGGAAAAACTGTACAGTAATAACTAATCCTGCATGTCTAAATTAACCCTACGCAAGTATTCGAGTCTATATATTACTTCAAATGTGAAAACTATCAAATTAATACTGCTCAGCTACAAGCTCCTAGAATTTGGACTGATATTTTCTGACGCTTAAAGCAAACAATCTGCCAATATCTGTCCTCTGTCTCCGGAGTAGTGGGAAGATATTTATCATGGTTGGCAAGATGTAGATCAGGTAGACCAGATGCATGCAAATAAAAATAACACGAGCCCAGAAAGGCAGTCACTCAACCAACAAACCTATTCCTCAAGCACTATGGAACAATTTCATCGACTCATTGTAATACAGTTTAGCAGTCTTCATTTCCATATTGTAATTTGTGTATTGCATATCCATTTTATTCTAACAAAGAAAAAATATGTATAGTAGCATCTTAAATGTGTACAATTTGTTCCTTATGAATATTCCACCTGATGCATCCATCTTCTCTTTTAACCTTCTTCAAGCATATCAGCTTTAACATCAGATGCTGGAAGTATTCTACACAAGTCAGGAACAGGAGAAGTAATGTTGCTGTATAATATAATATGACTAAATTAAGGCTGCACTGTACTAATTTGCACGTTAAATCCTCATCCTATCAAGTATTTTCCCTAAGATTATGTCCTGTTTGTATACACTACCAATCACACAGTTGTTTTCTGTGAGAGTCAGGCTAGTTTCTGTAGTCTGAGAATATTAAATTAAAATGAGAAAGAATCAAAAGATTCCATGCTCATTCATCCGTTATTGAACAGATCTCCATCGAACCACCTTAACTATCTCTTTTCCTACAAAAGCTTGGCACCTTCTATGTAGGCAAGGAACCTTTAACAAACACAACATACTTCTACCCTGAATGGAAAACAGACCATCAGTTGCCTGAACATAAACAAAGTGAAAAAAGAACACCACGAAGAAGAAGGTGAAGTCTTATTCCTCCAAATCTTTTAATGTTGAGGTCTTATTTGCAAGTGCTATCTCCTTCTACATATACGTGTCTGGACACATGCTCACATCTACATAATTTCAGCAGATTAACACGCTCATTTATGATTTATATAATGGTGTGTTTAAAAAGCAATACTGAGGCAAAAAGAGAACCCAATTACTGCTCACACCTGATGTGTCCTACTTTAGTTCATACTTTCCTGACCTCCATCACGATGCATAATAAAAGTAATAATGCCTGATATCTATGCTTTTCCCTATGTACACTTCGTGTATTGTTTTATAGCAAGAATAATTCGAAGCAATAACATTAAAACTAAAAAGTCTTGCCACCAAAAAAGTGGAACTAAAAATTATTTTTCAAATAAAAACTTAAAAAACGCTCTGTTTAATAAGAACATAATGGCGTTCTTCGATTAATTCACAATTACCAATACAATGCAAAAGTTTAGGTTTTATTTGTCAAACATTTAGCAAATTCGATGTAAGACGAACAAACGCTAAACGAAGAGAGTCGTATGATATTTTTCAAAATTAGTATTAGCCATTTTCAGTTTAAATCTGTATAGTTATTCAAAACGTCGTCACGCTAAAGTTTTAACTGCAATTGTTGTATTTAAGAAGATTACTAAGGTTCTGTAATTACAGTATCATCCCATAACACCTGCAGACGTTGTAGCCGTTACACGTAAAAATATTTACATTACAAAGTTTCGATCAATCGATCCTATATTTATCGTTATCACTAATTAATCCGCTAGTGAAAGCACACACACACACAAAAACAATTAAAAATCTAACCAAATTGCTCTTAACAGTCCTAAAATCATTTACCGACTTGTGTTGCAGGGAATAGAGTTTGGAGTGAATGGCTTAAAAAGTGGATAAAGCAACACAATTTTTCATCTTAACACAATATACTTCAAGAAAAAAAATACAAAATTGTGTACAATCTTATCTGTCGCTTCCGCAATAGAGTGAAGAAATAAACCAAGACATAATGAGGAAAAAAATCGAAAACGTTCTTTCCGAGCGGATACATAAACGTATATCAATAATCATAACGACAAAAGGCCGTTTTTCCAATACGTTTAATTCGTAATAACAAACGAATGACCTTATTATTATTATTATTATTATTATTATTATTATTATTATTATTACATTCCTGATTGGCTCTAATCTGCGGTTAAAACTAAAGAACCGAAAAATATCTTATTTCTTTAAATATTATTATAAATTTAAACACAGTACTTTAATGTCTTTCCCATTAAAAACGTCCAAGAAAAAATGCGCAATTTGTATCTGAGAAAAAAAGGACAATAAAACTAATTTAAAAAATACGCGCACAATACATTCGGCTATCACTTAAAACAAAAAGAACTGTATGGTCATTAAGACTTTATATAGCCGACTATGTACTGTTAACAATTAGCACAAGGCTTTCATTAAAATAAAAAAATATGCCATTAACTATACTGCAGGTCATCACGCACAATTTCAAAGAGCAGGCAATTCCCACCACAAGAACTCCAAATATCCGCGACCTATTCTCCTTTGAAAAACAAGTCCTTAATAAGAAGAATTTACTTAAAATTAACATAAAACATTATTGTAGAACTCAGATTCTAGCGGTTGTTGTGTCCGGGTCAGAATGTACCTGCCAATTCTAGTGACACTCTTAAAAGGCAAGCAAATTTCTGAAAACCTGCCAAAGGTAGCAATCTGTAATGAAACATAAAGCGTTTCTTCTTTGCTTCTCAAAGTTTAGGTGTATTTCCGCTGTCCGATAGACTCTTACCTTTAGTTTTCGTTGTATATAAAAGCCAGGGATTAATTTGTTGTCGATAAACTAAAGGCAGTGACGAATCCTATTGCGATTGGACATCCCCCTCCTAGCCCTGCCTTTATAATTTCCACAGGAGTGCATCTGGGCTCTTAAACACAGCGACAGCAGCAGCCGCCTCCACGAATACACACACTCAAGGCACCCTGCACTTTTACATCCTCCTGACTACCAACTCCGAGCAGTGATTACAGAAAACATAAATAAATAAGAAGGGGGCTGTTTTGACTACTGAAAGCCGCGTAGTGTCCGATTTCAGTCACTGCCGTTGTAATGGACATTTGATTATTAAACGCAACTTTAAATTGGAGGACTTCCTTTTAACACCGGCGCACTTTAAAAGCTGATGATAAAGATTAAGGGATTTACCGAACGGGTGCTTTGAGCACAAATAATCAGCTTTTACTAAATAAATATACTTTTTTTTCATATAATAGCTTACTTTGTTCTCTAAAATTGGCTCCCGTACAAACAGCCGCGTTGGATCCCTCGGCTTACTGCGAGACTCCGGTGTACAACCCGGATCTCTGCCCGAATATGATAGCTGCTCAGGCCAAGTTGGTCTACCACCTGAACAAGTACTACAACGAGAAATGCCAGTCTCGGAAAGCGGCGATCTCCAAGACGATCAGGGAGGTGTGCAAGGTGGTATCAGACGTCTTGAAGGAGGTGGAGGTCCAAGAGCCCCGGTTCATCAGCTCATTGAACGAAATGGAGAACCGTTATGAGGGTCTGGAGGTCATCTCACCCACCGAATTCGAGGTGGTCCTGTACTTAAACCAGATGGGAGTTTTCAACTTTGTGGATGACGGCTCTTTACCGGGCTGCGCCGTCTTAAAGCTCAGCGACGGCCGAAAAAGAAGCATGTCCCTGTGGGTCGAGTTCATCACCGCTTCTGGTTACCTTTCGGCTCGCAAGATCCGGTCCCGGTTTCAGACACTAGTAGCGCAGGCTGTGGATAAGTGCAGCTACAGAGATGTCGTAAAGATGGTCGCTGACACCAGCGAGGTGAAATTGCGCATCAGAGACAGATACGTAGTTCAGATCACTCCAGCTTTCAAGTGCACGGGGATATGGCCAAGGAGCGCTGCCCACTGGCCTTTACCCCACATCCCCTGGCCGGGACCCAACAGGGTGGCAGAAGTCAAAGCCGAAGGTTTTAACCTTTTATCTAAAGAATGCTACTCCTTAAACGGGAAGCAGAGCTCGGCAGAGAGCGACGCGTGGGTCTTACAATTTGCTGAAGCCGAAAATCGCCTTCTTTTGGGAGGCTGCAGGAAGAAATGTCTGTCCGTTCTGAAGACATTGCGCGACCGTCACCTTGAACTGCCAGGACAGCCTCTCAACAATTATCACATGAAAACTTTGGTCTCATACGAGTGTGAAAAGCATCCTAGGGAATCGGACTGGGACGAGAGCTGTCTGGGAGATCGACTGAACGGGATTTTATTACAACTCATCTCGTGTTTGCAGTGCAGGAGATGTCCGCATTATTTTTTGCCTAATTTAGACCTGTTTCAAGGAAAACCTCATTCAGCCCTTGAAAATGCGGCTAAACAGACTTGGCGATTGGCAAGAGAAATTCTTACCAACCCCAAAAGCCTGGAAAAACTCTGAGGTAAAAAATACTACTTCTACTAATGAAATATACATATATACAGCGATAGATCTAACTTCATCGAGGCTATTGAAAGGCCTAGATGACATTTGTTAATCCAGGACTCCTTGGACAAAAAAATATCTTTCTGCTGTTTTGTTTTAAACCATGTTCGTGTAAAACTGTGGAGCCAACAAAAATGTCCCGTGGATTTATTTGTTTTGTCATTTTGAACATAAGTACAAGTAACTGGCTTTTCAAAGCATACATTTACAATTTTTATCATAAGTATTAATTTGAAGGAAAAAAGAGCACAACTGAAAATAAAAAGGTGGATTACATACATACTCCAGTTCTGTTATTATCATGTTTGGGGTTGATTGCTATGTCATTTTTATAAAAGCGCCAACGCATATTAAATCAGACTGTGTTTATTCGCAAAAAGGCACTCCCACTTTTTGTGTTTAAAATGAGCCCTGGACAAAACTCGGCTGTACATTTTATTTCTGTATATATAGATTGTGGTTCCAGTGGTCAGAAATTGTGAATGTTGTTTTTGTGACACGTACATAGAAGTCAAATTCCATATATTTATGAATAACTTCAGGATTTTTCTGCTAGAAAAAAAATACAAGGTAGACTACATCAGTGGTATTTTTTACTTTGTTTGTCATTGGAAAGTGTCTAATTTTGAAAAGTTTACATTCTGATGGTACTATTTGTTCAATTTTATAACATTCCATAAATATACTTGAATTCTTATTTAAAATATATTCGATCAATTCTGTTTTGATTCTGCTTATATGATAACGCTTGAAAAATAAAATATATATATTTGAAAAAATGCACTTGAAATACACTGGAATATAACAATTTGTGATTTGGAATTTTTTATTTCTGTCTTTGAACTTATTTAAAGAGCAAATAAAAAAAATTAAGTATTAAATGTGTCCCAATAATGATTTTTAAAGAAATTTTAAAGTTGTTTCAATAACGTTTAGATTTTACTGTTTTTCTCTATGCATGTATTATTTTATTACTTTAATTCACGATCAGACACAAGTACATCACTGTATCGAAACTACTCACGTGAAAACAAGCTTTCGGGGCTTCAAACTATTTTCAATTTTATTACTATTTTATACAGAACATTTTAGAATTATGCAATGTATTTCTTATTCACAAGTTAAATAAACAAATAACCTAAAACAATCTTTTATGCCTTAAATGACAACTGTTTTTTGTCATGATACTCGCTAATTAAGTTGTAGTGTACATCGTTGAAACAGGTGTATTGATTTTATAACAAACGGTAGTATACATATTTATGTGGATATTAAAGACTCGTAGTCTTTTAGTCTATGTTTTACAATACTTCAGTAACACTATATTGTTTACAATATTAAATGCTTCAGTCTAAATGTAAAAATCAAATAGTATTAAATGCATTGTATTTTCACGTGCTTTCTGTCAAAAGGATAAAATAGGATCAGAACATTAATAACAATTTAACCATATAGTTATCGTGTTCGTACCTTCGGCAAACAAAATTATCCTAAATGCTGCCTAAACCTTAATTAATGGGATTTACTACTGCCATTTTGAGACATCATGTAAACGCCCACTAATCCAATACTATCTTTGACGTTGGCTTAAGATATTGTTCTGTTCAGTATGAAAATATAGCCGATTGTTCCAAACTATAAAGTACTATTATTCTGTCATCTTCGACACCCTTTTAAGATCCGATAAAATGAAAAAAAAAAATCAACGAACAAGTGCATTATGCTTGCAAGTGAGCATCCATATAGAAGAACACAACTGTGTTTTACATTACATCTACAAATCAAAAGTACTTTGCAAGCCATAAAAGACCCTAAAATACAACTCGCTGGTGTCAGATACTAAAATAATATTTGCGATTTAGTGACAATTACGCATTGACCTTATATCCGGCAATCATCTTTGGAAATATCAATTTATTAGTTTGTATTCCCCTGTGCTAAGGAACCTGTGGGTTAAAAGTATTGGAGCTGTTTGTGTTAGCAAGCAACTCTGTGGTCATGTAAGAAAGCACATTGGGATTGATACTTGTTTAGCGGGTCTACTTAATTGCGCTAATTCAATTATTTAGAAAAAACACTTAATAACCACGATTTCAAAAATATATTTGTGAAAAGTAGTAAACACTAAACAATCATTCTAACAACTTATATATTAGGCCTATATACACACGGGTAGGCGAGAAATATACAGACCAGGATTTTATTATATGATGTTTTGTTGTGACGATCGCACACTTACTTTGGCGTCGATCTTTTTAAAAGCGGAATCCTCCTCGTCCACCTCAAAGTAGATCTCAGTGGTGGTGATGGAGAGCGTACCTCTCGCCACTATCACCGGGGCAATGAGCTGAGCTGGGGTGCTCAGAACCACGGGGCCTGCAAGTGACAAAGCGCAGCTCCTAAATCAATCGAAAACTTCCAACATAGGACGCTTGTAAAAACACCATAGAAAACATCGTGACAGGATAGTATTCAGAAATCAGGAATATCATTTGCTTAAACAGTGTGAATTTCGGGCACACAATCGACATACTTGCCAAAAATGTGAAACAATTACAAACGAATTTAGTCTCTGTAAATGGGGTGGTGCCACAAGTGCAGAACTGGTCAGTAGCTTACAGGTATCTATATAAGTATTAATAACAAGTTAACAAAAAAATCTTTAATAAGGAATAAATCGGGAATAAATCGAAAAATAAAAACAATTCGGAAACACTGCGCTCACATACAACAAAATAATCAAGACTGCAATAATTTAAATAATTTCAGACTGCAAGCATGGGTTAAACTGATGGCTACTGTAAATACTGAAATATTGAGTAATATGAAGTAAACTGTATCAAGCGGCCATTCTTTTATTTAGTAAATGGTATTTACGCAATAACCATTTTTAAAACAGGGATCATCAGTTAGTATGTCTTTATGCAACTAAAAGTCGTGGTCAGATTTCAAAATGTTTTTGTTACTTGAAGGCTTACTTTTTGTTAATCCAGTTTGTGATAACTGCAAGTATAACCTATCGGGAGAAGGTTAAATATCCCAAATATTTTCAATATTCAAGTAGAAGAACGAGGTTCGAGATGCTGGGCACTTCTACCACGACGTAATATAGGACAGAATATTATTCATTTCACACTTGTTTAAAACAAGCAACCTAAATCGCTAAATTCACCTTCAGCGTGCTAGAACTAAGACAATCTTTACACCCGGGCTGCATTTTAAGAAAATGCTCCATTCCACCTTAAAGGTAAAGCAGTTGTGTGTTTTGAAAACTATTCCGCTGTATTTTTGTTCTAGATAATAGCTTTTTGACCCCGGTCAGCTGATTGCGATCACATGTGATTTTTTCCCTTTTCTCCCCCTGTTCATCGTCCATCTTCTGTACAGTGCGTAACACAATGTCGCTACACCGAGCCTGTATATAGTTCCCATGAACCGAGTCGAGCATAAAAGAAATATCTTGAAATTGGGATATTTATCGATCTCCTGAAGTCTGAAGAGCCACTTTAATGTCTCATCAATCTTAATATAGGCTGCTCAACCAATTACGACCGATACAGTTGCAAGATTACAAGTGGATTTTGGCTTCTATTCCCACAGCGCTCCTTTATTGTTCGTGTGGACGGCTCTCGAAAAGCTACAGCCATCCCCCACCCCTCTCTTGCTCTCTGCCTACATAAAAGTCTCCCAAGGTTTTTTAACCTGTTCATCGCAGTCCCCCTTTTAAAATAATTGCAGTTAATTCATTACCTTTTCGAATAACACTGAAAACGAAAGTAAGAAGCGCACGTGCTTTTACAGTTTTATTAATGGTCATTATGCTTTAATGTACGGAGTGTCAGTAACAGAACATAATCTGGCCTCAAATGAATCATACATGACTTGTGATTTAAATGTATCGTCACGTCTAACAAAATATGAAAATACGGATTATTTGCAAAAGAGAACTAAAACTGATATCGTGGTATTCTATTTATCGATTATTAGAAAAATCAATGGTTTATGTTTGTACGTATTTAAATCGTCATTTTTGCCAATTTTTATACTGCACTGCGCAATGGCGACAAAAATAATTCTCAAATTTTACTATCACGAGTAGTCTACGTTTCTGACATCCTAAAACAAATGAAGGTCCCCTCACGTCACAAAGCAATCTTCGACATTGAACCATTATTTTCTTTTTTAACCACACAGACCAATATCAAAATATAAATTAAGCGGCCTTATTAAATTTCCGTGTAACATTTATAACATTTTGTAATAATTTCGGAATTAACTCATACTGTTTCAGATTTAAGTCTTAAATTTTATGTTATCAATTCAACCTATTCCCAGGAGAGCAAGAAGCCACTAATCGTTTTAAACAATAAGTGTACCTTGGTCGGATTGTGTTTTTTACATGATAATAATTTTAAAGTATCAATTCATTAAAATAAATATTTCGAAATCTTATTTTCTAACACAATCATATATATTGTAAATACATTTTGAAGTTGCCAAGGTAGTTGCTTCCTGAGAACAATACATTTATCTTAAATGAGGGTATGCGCTAAACTGCTTAAGTCAGAACAAATTCTGTGTGTATGTTTACATATTCTAGTGACAGACTATCTGTAGTCAAACTTGTCAAGTTCCAAAAGCATACATTGACATAATTATAACTCACATTTTTAGAAACGCCTTCACTTTTATGACATGGCGATTTCAGCCAACTCCACACGATTTTAGCTTTCACTGCGTTTTTGCCGAACGTTTTATATGATTAAAGAATAAAGTTCTCATGGCTAATATGTTATCTCTCACACGTCTGTTGGAAACCTTCAATTACAAGCTCCCCCCAAACGGAATAGGATGTTTCAGGAGTACAGAACCAATTGTATTTTAGCCTGGAGGGACAATTTACAGAGAAAGACAATATGCAGTTAATCCACTGCAGCCACATAGAGAGGATTAGGTTTTAATCCCTTCTGGGATAGTCCTTCCATAATAAGGATATATTAAAATGTTTACATTAAGCATAATAAAGTGCTGTAGGTTTTCCATATGTCAGGACAATAATCTGTTAACTCCAACAACTACACAATTAGCTAGTTACGTTTGATGGTAAACAATCTAATACCTCTACAAATCATTACTAATAAATTATTGCTAACAATATTTTCAGAAACTAAAATTTACGGAGCATTTTTTTAGGATGCAATTAACCTTCTTACTTTTCATTGGAATTGCCACGAGTTATTCTGCTCTGACAATTCACAATCTACAATTTTCTCTCAGTATACAAATGCCGTTATACTGCATAGCAAACGCCGTTTTATCCAGACATACGATTAAGCATCAAGGTAACGTACAACACAATACATGGAACATTACAATACATAAATCGGATTGCTGTGTTTACAATTCTGCTCCATTCATATATTTGCTTTCTCAAAAGCGTCTCATGAAGACGTCGCCTTCACCCAGGAGCATTGCATCCTATAATTCATCAAAGGTTGGTTCGTTACATTGAAATATTTACTTAATAAAGGCCTTCAGATTAAATGTCCGCATTCCGGTATGTTCACTTTCAACCATGCAGTATATTATATGCATAGCGTCACATATTTTATTTCAACGGCTGCGCAACATTGCACGAAAAGTACACAAGTCACGTCTATTTAATAAAAGAAACGGGCGCCTGTAAAGTAAAATAAGACATCCCATATTACAATGTACTGTATAAAAAGTGGAGTTTCTTTACTAGGCATAGAATTAAAAAAATGTAATAATGTAGGAACATTCCTTGTCTAAGAGGACTTAATAAAGTCCATGACATTTATGAAAAGATGTCAAAGCTTCCAATAAATCTCACCTCCGTCGCAAGTTTATAGTATGGATAAATTGGTAAATCTACAAGCACGAAGGTTATAATTGGGATTTTAAAATGGCTTTATAATCTGCTTTGTAAATCCTACCAAGATAAAATTAAAACACTATTTCATCCCACTGTCACATTTTGGAATATTCAGTACTTAGCTTTTCTTATTAACTTAATATTGATACCATCGTTGTTTCTATTACCACAGAGTACTGAAATAAAAACGTGTGCCCGCATTTTTAAACACACTAAATAATATGTCTATTCTTACGTTTTCATTCTTTACTTTTACTAGAATTGTGGCTGTAAATCATTATTGTACGGTATCTGAAAAAACATTTAGAATGTTTGCCTTTATGTTTCGCGTCTCTAAACAGAAAAGAACTTCATCGTTCAGCATTTGACACAGGTATTGATGCTCTTCTAGCGTGCGCTGTTTTTTCTAAACAGAAATATAACACTGTCTTAAGAGAGAAATGAAGAGTTCCCCTTCTCCTTGGTGTGATGTCAGAAATCCACACTCTGAAAAGGGGGAGTCTAATAGAGAATTATGGGAAAAAAACATTAAGCAGCAGCTTTTTCCTTGTAAACAAATGCTTTTCTAATGACAAGACAAAACAGTGCAGCAATTCTGTTTTACAGTTTTTTTTTTAGAATTTATTTTCTATAACTATTCAATAGGACCGTGCTTAAGTTTTATGTGGAGATAAACCATTCACGTTAACTTTTTTAATTGGATTACAGCAATTTACACGTTTGTGTTTTTAAACTAATACACACTGACCTTTAGTATGCTTTCCATTTTAAAAATAAAATAGCACCCTTTTAAAAACAAATGTATTATGTATTGAGATCCATAAATATATACATATATTCTTAAAGGCCCCACCATATGATAACAACTCCTTAACCAAGGGACAGAAATAGAAAAACAATAGGGTCATTTTAAAAGCTTACATGAGAAGAATGAAAAATTACCACTATTTTTGTTGTCATTAACACTTACCATCGCTAAACCCTTACTCTCTGTTACTGCATTTCCAGCTACAACTTGTATGAAAGTGATATCTATTAAAAATATAACATACCTGAAGAAGGCTCCACAGCCAAAACGTTGTGTTTTCTTTTTTCTCTTTACAGCGAGGAATAAACCTATTACTTTTTCCTTTATTAGAAATGTTCTGCTACTATCCAGGAGTCTTAAAGCAATTAAAAAAGCACTTGTAGAAAATAACAGTGAAATTGCTTTCTACAGTCAGGTCTGTTTAAATGGTAATTATAATACAAAGGGCAATATGTATATCTGTTTTGTTTTCGGCATGAACTTTTACATCTGTTAAAAAACGTTGCAAGACCATCACACTATAGCTTTCAAAGTAGTAATGTCAAATATAATAATAAACAAAAAAACAAAACTGGTTGCAGTTTTTTTTTTTGTAAAGAAACATGGGACACAAACATTGCCATTGGAAATGGCCAACATGACACGCTATTGCTCACAATATACAGATCTGAG